CTTCGACCTTGCATCGGTCTTATAAACAACCCCAGTGGGAGTCGAACCGTGACAGTGCAGAATGGGAGCTTGACACGTTAACCACTCGGCCACATTGCCACCGGTGCCCTTGGGTCACAGGGCAAATGTGAATTTCAAGGAAGGCCACTCCTTTTGCCATATCATATTCTTTGGTGGGATTGCCGATGAAGCAAACGTTAATTTGCGATAACTATGTTACTTATTTTTAGTAGCTATTTGATATAAATATGTGAATTGAATTTGGTTCTTTGAACTCGCTATTCGTATAAGGTCTGTCTGACTTCCAACTGGCCAATTCCCCGAGTCGAGCATGGTTATATGAGTTGAACTGAAAATATTGATATTTTGAAGCTACTGAGTCCACATACATAGATGGTATCTGGCCAGGTGTCCTCTGTTGTCATTTTGCTAACTTCCAGTTTACCAAATCAGATATCTTGACACCATACCATAGAGATCATACCTTAGCCAGCCTATATGAAACTCATGTCCACAAAAGCCCATCAACCCCTCAGACATGTAGCATTAATTCTATGTAATAGTAATTTATTTACCTGCATTGGAATCATAAGCAGCATTATCACGGTTCTATTTCTCTTTATTTAGTTATTCACAAAAGCCCTTAAACCCATCTTATTTCGCATTTTATCTAAGCTTTCTACCTACTTAATTAAGTATTACATGCGTTCTAGTTGCACAAGAAATATCCTACATTAGAAATATGAATTTTTTATTGTAAAGATTTCATGAAAGGCTCATACAGAATAATATTATTTGCATTAACTATCGGCACCATTTATCTCTTCTCTTACCTCATTCCCATATCCACAAGCTTTTTAAGCCTAGTAATATGCGCTTGGCGAAAAAAGCATGCATTCAATTTTCATATTGGTATTAGTGGTTCTCCCCTGACAGTTCAGAATAAAATGCTTCTTATTGAATTTTTTCAACTTGCGGCCTCATTTAGGAAGATCTCGAGAAGATTCGTTGATTAAAATTTATGTTACGCTTGCTTAAGCTATTCTCGTTTAGACGATGTAAAAACTGATAATGTAAACGATAAGTTAGCTTAGCAATACATTAGTTAGCAGTATAACTTGATCTCACTTGCCTAAAATTGTGAATTTAAATAATATTATACCAAAACTGTGGAGTCCCCTACATTTAGACACTGCTTATTACCAGAATAAATGTTTAAGTTGTCAGCGCATTTCATTTCGCAAATATTTCGTATCTACTCCTAAGTAATGACATGAATCCTTAAGCTTAGATTGAGCTTTGATAGTAGTTTCTATGCCAGTTATTTGCTTACGCAACTTTGTTCTTGCGTTACTTTAGGTTATCCCCCTTGATCTCTATGAAAGAGATAATCATATCTTGCTATATTAATAAAAAAATTAATAAGAATGTCCGATCAGCTTTGAATTTTAGATTTTAATTTACTTTATTTTATTGCATGGTATATGTGTATCCTAGTCTATATTGAAACCTGTCATGCGCATATAACTTTGCTCGCGTTTGATTATGCTTTTTATTTCTTTAACTCTCAGACTCTTCAGACACAACTATGACGGCCTGCCGAATACAAATCAACTCCCTTCTTGCTCAAGAAAAACTGAAGCTCACATCTCTCTACTTCTCACCATCGTGCAATCTCTCCGCAAATGACAGGCAGGTCAGTAAACTGGTTTTCGTCAAATTTTGAGTTTTTTTGAAAATCATTTGTAAGCTCAATTGATACCTCTCCAAGTCACCTACTAAGTCTAATAGAGGGCTAATATTGATAGTCGTTTTCTTTCAAATCTTCGTCCTATCCATCAAGGTTAAAATACTACATAGTGAAAATCTTCGTAGCATTTGATTGGCTGCATTCTATTCCTGTCTCAAGATTCAATGCTTGACATAGTGGATTCTTGGAAAAAACGATAAATCAGCATATAACCTATACCATTTTTTGTTGATATGATTCCCCATGAGGCTATTATTACTTTTATCAATCGACGTAGTGAATCGTTTTAAATATTTCGAATAATATCCATCTCAAAACGCTCTGTGGACCTTATTTCACATGCTCACTACATCGTTCTTTTTTGCCAATAAACTGCCTTAAATTCGCCACTAGTTAATTCATTTCAGTCTCGAAGTTGTTTGATCTTGTTTTCGCAACTTGGTCATATTGGTAGGAACACTTAGAGGAACGCACCTAGTCCGAAGTCCATTGTATTCATGATCATTTCCGAAGTCGGACCGTGGACGTGGTACATTCCCAGACGTTTCTCCGGCATCGTCAGCGAGTTTTTCCATTCGTAGCACCATATTGCAACCCGTCAAAGAGACAAGTGAACCGATCCCTTGACCAAACGTGTGCTAAACAGTTGTGGTATGTCCCCTTCTGCCCTGGCTTATTCACATTTCCTATATCCTCTTATCACACTTTCACTGTCACAATTTTTTTTACTTGCTTAATTGAATGTGGTACGGTGTGCCCTTTTGAGCGGCTTTCATGATAACTCTCCGCACTCCTTGCTGGCCTTCTCATTCCGCTTCATCCTTGTGCTGGGACTGGTGATCAGAGTCTGCCATTATGTTACGCAGTCCTCCTTCCCTAGGTCTTATCACAGGATAGACGCGGAGGCGATGGGAGCTAGTGCGCTGACATTAGGTTCTATGAGAGACGTGGTCCATGTGGCAAAGGCCTGACCATGACACTTACTCAGAGGTTTGAGCCTCAAATTAGTCACCCAGACGCAGACTAGGGCCAATAACGCCTCGGGTGGCACAGATGGGGTGGCAGGGGCCGAGTGAAATATGTGAACCAGGGAGAGGGCAGACGGATCTTACGGGGCAAGAGAGAGACGGTGATAAGAACTAGGGCAGGAGGACTGCGCAACATAATGGCAGACTCTGATCAACAGTCCTAGCACAAGGATGAAGGGAGGTGAGAAGGCCAGCGTGGATTCCGGGGGGTTCTCATCAAAGCCGCTCAAAAGGATACACCCTACCACATTTAATTACGCAAGTAAAAAAATGTGACAGTGAAATCGGGATAGGAGGATATAGGAAATGTTAATAGGCCAGGGCAGAAAAAGAGATACCACAACTGTTAAGCGCACATTTGGTAAAGGGATCGGCTTTATTTGTCTCTTTGACGGGTTGTAATATGGTGCTACGAATGGCAAAACTCACTAACGATGCCGGCGAAACTTCTGTAAATGTACCACGTCCACGGTCTGACTTTGGAAATAATTGGCTCCATGATCGCTCTTGTATTCACTACCACGATTCTCGTACTTTGCTCCAGTTCACAGATCACTTAGGTCAGGTTAAATTTCTGGTACAATGCTTATAAGCTTTTTTTCAAAGAGGGTATCCTGAGACTCTAACACCTCTTCTACTCCCTCACTCCCAGAAAAATACTATCCTGTCTTCAGTCCTTTGGTGTATTACAAGCTAATGCTGTTATAGTTAAATATACCAAGCTGAAACAAGAGCCTCTTGGTCATAAATATTTTTAATTACATTTGTGCTCCTAGTATACTTACTAACCCTGACTGCAGCCAGTTCTTGCCGCAATGCATCTCTCTGGACTCTCCATTAATACTTAAGATACGAGATTCTTGAAGAGCTATTTAATATATCATCTTATTAGTCCTCCCGACCACGACTCTTTTGGCATATAATAAAGACCCTGGTATTCCTTAGAACGTAGCTTCTTAAGGCCAAACATTAACATTATATGGGCCAATTATGTACAAGGCAGGAGTTATGCTCTTTTGAATCATTCTAGTTGAACTTGATCTTTCTTTTTTTTATAGATATTGGGGCAGTTGCTTGAATCAGCCGCTAAAATTCGCTCACATACCTTCTGCATTCTTCCTGGACATCTCGATACTCCGCCTATCAAGTCAAATGATGCGCCAACTTGTTCAACAGCCTTCCTTCCCCCTTTCTCTGCCCCTAATTCGCCACTATCCTCAACCTCTCCTTCCTTTCAATCTCCCTCCTCTCTTGCAATGCATTCCAGGGGTGCTAGTTCGGGCTCTACTTCAGACACCGCCAGTCCGAAGCTTGCTGTATATTCACCTGACAGTGGTTTATCCATCGACCTTGGAAATAATTTCAATTGGCAAACCTACTCCAGTTATCTTCGTACTCGATTTCTGGGTCGATCTCCTGTTTGGGCGGAAGTTATGGACAGCAGTTGGGTTTTATGTGAAAGGTATCTAATTATGCTTCGCGCTTAAGCTAGGCTTCTCCTTATTGCTCAACAAAGGTTTACGAGTATTTAGAATTAACTTGAGCGATTTTTTAAATGTTTTTCAGTAATAAATTTATGTGTTTATGCCTGTGCTCGTGAGTTTTTGAATTTTTTACCCTTGCTTATTTCCGAATGGTCTAGGTTAAATTTGAGCGAATTAATACTTTGAAAGTTTTGGATAGGGAAGTTAAAAAATATGAGGGACCCTGTGGAGAATCATGCAAATAAATAAATTGTTTGCATCGGCATCTGCGTTGCCTGAAAAGGCATATGAATTTACGTATGAAGAAAAGCTGGGTTTTGAAGAATCCGTTGATCATTTATTTCACCTAACTTTTCATTTCAAAGGCAGAGTTTGTTGTAAGGGGTTCAGATAATTAGCCTCACAGGAATCCAGAGGAAGACCGTTTGGGTGTGCGGACTTTGAATTTCGCGAGGAAGCCCTAGGCTCATATCTGCTGTGGCAGACATCATCAGAGCGTATGACGATTCTTTTGGAAAGCTTCAACAAGCACAAATTAAGAATTGCAGCCGGCTCCAATTCTGACTTTGTCAACATAATAAGGCATATAATGAAATTATTTGTTTCACTCTTCCCTTTCATGCATGTAGATGAAGGAAGTAGATGTAGTTAAGACCAAGCAGCTATTTATTTGCTAAAATCAATTGCATTTGTGATCAAACAATGTTGATATGTCTGTTTGTTTTTATCTGTGTCGTATGAGTGCAATTCTCATTGATCATGATAAGTGTGGGGGCCCTAACCAAATTTGAGACAAATCAAGCCTTTCTCACTCGCCGGTTATTCATGTTCTATCTTTCCCCACTCCTATCTAACAGGCTAGAGTAGTATCTACTTCTATTCCTACCCACGTTCCTTTTCTTCAGGTTATTTGCCTAGATTCACATGTCACATCTCAGCATCCTGCAAAATGTATCGTCCTATATTATCTTATCTAGTGTCCTTCTTTGGACAGATTCCAATTTGTGAACCCGCAAACCTTTTCAGACTGTTTTGCGTGCTGATGATCACTTCTGAATGAGATACCAGGTCTCTTCTACATATACTTTGGTACAAAAATACAGAAATTGTTCTGAAAATTCCCAGAAAAGGGTATTTTTGAGGGGAGTATCGTTTTTTTAGATATTTTAGCGTCCCATTTCTGTGGCAATTCGCCCCTTATTTTCGAGGGTTGAGGGGATGTTTACATCAGGATCCAGGTGGAGTTGTCTAGCCACTTCAACTAAAATAGCAACCCGTAACTCAATTTTATTCCCAATCTCTTCTGGGAAATGAGCCGTAAAGCTTATGAGTTCTACCCTCATTTCCTTTAGATAGAGCTTTCTTGCTGGTAACGTCGGTGAGCCTAATGTACTAATTCCTCCCATCCGCAATTGTAAACAATGAATTTTTTATTGTTAGGCGGAATTTCAGTTCGCATGAAAGTGAATGAAGAAGAGATTCGTTGGTCGGATGAATCTCGTTGTACTGCAGCCGTTTGGCTTTTATGCGATATTCATTCTGACGCAGCTCACAAGACTTCCTCCCTCGTTTCGGGCGAAAACGTGCCGAGCTCTCGTCCATCATTCGATGGACATCATCAGAGCTGGGTGCCATTCTTGTAAAAGTTTGACGTTAACACTAGACCAAGAACACTATCCGGCTCTATCTTACTTCTTGTATAGACTCAATTGAGCCAAATGAAAATTAAAAACCTAGATA